CGCGGCGGCCCGCGTCAGGTGGCCGGCCACCGCGCGGTCTGCGAAGTGCGAGACGAAGATGCGTACGTTGGGGCCGCGGGCACCGGGGTTTGAGGGGGACGGCGGCCACCTCTCGTGCTCGCGGCTGCCGGCGCGCACCCTTGTGCAGTCCCGGGCAGAGCGCGCCCGCGCGCGGGAGTAAGGCAGCAGCAAGTCATCGTCGCGGGAGGCCCTGCTGGAATGGGGCAGACCTGAGCTCGGAGTGCTGTGCCCGGGTCTGGGGGACCCCGCAACGAGGCTTGCCCCCGGCAGCTGTACTCACCCCGAGCCGAGGTCGCCGGACGCCTCACCGAGGAAGCCGCGCAGTGAAATGAAGAAGAGAAGGCAGCGACCCATGGAGGCCGCCATGTTGGACTCGGGCCTCCGGTCACATGGGCCCACCCCACATGACTCAGGACTTCTGGTGGCAGCTTTTAGCTCTGAATTGTTTATACTTTAACGGATATCCCAAAATCTCTTCCTGTAATTTACTGTTATTTTAGAAGGGGCGGGCGCTGGGGCGGCGGGAAGTTTTCACGTTGATGTAATTTGAAGTCTATGGAAAGTTAAAAAAAAGTAGTATAAAGAACTCTCTTATACTTTTTTTTTTTTTCAGTACACGGGCCTCTCACTGTTGTGGCCTCTCCCGTTGCGGAGCACAGGCTCCGGACGCGCAGGCTCAGTGGCCATGGCTCACGGGCCCAGCCGCTCCGTGGCACGTGGGATCCTCCCGGACCGGGGCACGAACCCGCGTCCCCTGCATCGGCAGGCGGACCCTCAACCATTGCGCCACCAGGGAAGCCCTGAAACTTCTCTTTTATGTTCCCTTCACTGGAGACAGCATCTCTGGACTTCCCACTTTCAAAGAGGAGGGCATCAGAGACTCCTACCCTTCCCTCTAGCTCCCGAACACAAAGGCCCCCCAACCTGGCTCCTGGGTGATGCTGGGAGCCTGTTTTCCTTGAGTGCAAGCCGTGTATATCCTTTCTAGGTTTTGGTTTCATGTCTTGGGTATTTTCATTACCTGTAAATTGTTTTTCTCGCCTCTTCACTCTTCTCAAAAGATGCTGTTGGTACTGAATGGCTTTGGGTAATTCTTCATCTTCAGCAGCTGAGAGAAGGATGAAAGGTGAACTTCTCAAGATGGATTTTTAAATATTACTGGCTAAGCCCCCTACTCTTCACAACACCTCAAGCAACTCAAGTCTTCTCTTGAATCTGGAGGGACTTCTGGAAGTTTCCTCATGCCCCTGGGTAGAGATACTTCCACACCACCTCAATCTGCATCTACTGATGTTTCCCAAATTGTGGTCCCCCAATCACCCATATCAGAATGGCCAGAGGAGCTCATTGAAAATAGGGGTCCGCAGCCCCTCCACCTGCTGAATCTATAGGTCTGGAAGCCTGAGAATCTTCATTTTATAAACGCCTCTGTCTTAAAACAGACTATCTTATTTCAAAAGCTTTGGTCTTTGAGCATCCTAAGCTTCTCATTTGGGAAGCCAGCATTTACTGGGAGCCTTGTCTGTACCTGGCAAAAGCTAGGTGGTTTCATATGTATTTTGGCTACTCCTTATAGCTCAGGAAGGTGGAGATTATTTTGCTCATTTATTTATAGACAGGAAAATTGAGGCTCAGAGAGGTGAAGTGACTTACTCCAAAGAGGACCAAGCTGTCTGGTGTCACATGGCTGGAAAGGTGCTGCATCCTCTGCCTTTCCACCCTCTGCTTCTTCTTCTTTTTCTCTATTTCTTCTTTTTATTCTTTATTTTTAAAAATTTTTGGCCATGACTCGCGGCATGTGGGAATCTTAGTTTCCTGACCAGGGATCAAACCCTGAACCCATGCCCCCTGCAGTGGAAGCATGGAGTCTTAACCACTGGACAGGGGGGGAAGTCCCAGCTGCTTCTTTTTAAAAAAATTTTGTTGAAGTACAGTTTACAATGTTGTGTTAATTTCTGCTGCACAGCAAAGTGACTCAGTTACACATATACATATTCTTTTTCATATTCTTTTCCGTTATGGTTTATCATAGGATATTGAATATAGTTCCCTCCACCCCTGCTTCTATGTCACCACCTCTCAGACATCTCTCCTGACTACTCTGCCTAAAGAAGCTTCTCCAATGTTCTTTTCTCTCTCAGCCTGATGTATTCTTCACAATCATTATCAGAACTCGCATTTCACTTACTGGTTTGTGTAGGTGGTTTCTGTCTCATTTCCTCGTTCCTCTTTTCCCTGCCTAGTTTCTCCAGAGCCTAGAACTGTGTCTGGCATATAGTAGGTGCTCAGGGAATACTTGATGAAGAAATGAATTTGTTAACACAGATGCAGGGGTCTGATATCTTCCAACAAGACCGCCCCTCATCCTGCAAAGTTTTGGCTTCCAAAACTCTGAGCTTATTTCCACGTGTGTGTGTGTGTGCATGTGTGTGCATGGACATGCATGTTGCACACCTCTCTCTGCACCCCCCCAACACCAGTGCATCCTTTCCCCAACTGGCATAGAAGCCCAGCGCCCCCACCCCCACCCCTGCTCCCAGCCAGGGAGGAAATACAGCTCACGTGGCTTCCCAAAGCATCCTTTCTGTGGCTTCTGCCAGCTGAGAATGGCCTCCAGCCACTGGAGTTTGTAGAATTTGGAGAAGCCACCGATTCCACAGAACATGACTGGAAGCAAAGACAGGGGACCCTCTGCAGGCCTATCCCCCAGGCCCACCTCTTCCCCCTCCCCAAGGCCACCATGGTGCCACCTGCTAGAGAGAGGCAGGACCAGCAGGTGGGCACTCAGTACAGTGGCTGCAAGGAGGCAGCCCTGAGGGTCTGCCTTAGTAAGCAGGGGCCCCCAAACCTGGGTCCTGCCTTGTTCAGTCTGTCCAGAGCTCCGTCACTGGGTCAGATTTTGGGGGCAGGAAGCAGTCAAAACAGTGGCAGATAAAATACAGGATGCCCACTTAAATTTATTTCCAATAAATGATGAATAAAAAATTGTTAATTAGGACTTCCCTGGTGGTCCAGTGGTTAAGACTAAGTGCTTCCACTCTTCCACTGCAGGGGACACAGGTTCGATCCCTGATTGGGGAACTAAGATCCAGCATGCCACATGGTGTGGCAAAAAAATTTAAAAAAAGAAAAAAATTGTTAAGTATAGTCCATGCAATGTTTGGGATACACTTATACTAAAAATGTATTTGTTGTTTATCTGAAGTTCAAATTTGCCTGGGCCTCTTATATTTTCATTTGCTAAACCTGGCAGCCCTAGTGTATGTGTGTGTTTGTGTGTGTGGCCAGAATCAGGGACACCCTGCTGCTTTGTTCCTAGAGTAGAATGCGGGGGCCCACTGTTTTCCATGAAGAGGTCCCGGGTTGGGTAGGCGTATCCGATGGCCTCAGCTCTCTGGTTCAGGTCCATCATGTTGGCACAGAAGAGGTTCATGTAGCTCTGGCTCTGGCGGAACAGCCCCTTCGTGCATTCCATCTGGGGGAACAAACACCAAGAGACAAGGAAGTTGGTGGTCTGAGCGATTCATGTGCGCTGTTACAGGAAAAGACCTGCTGTTCTGAAACGGTTTTTTTAAGTGGCTGCCTTTGGGGCAAATCCTTTCCCTTTTCCCAAAATTTCTTCCCTATCCACACTCCCAGCGTGGTGGGGCTTAGTCACTGGGGGACAGAGAGAGCTGAGTTTGACCCCCGGCTCTGCAGCTTAGGAGCTGTGCGACTTCCACCCCCTAAATTAACCTTTGTGAGCCTCAAGGGTTTTCATGGGGAAAGGGCGATGCCGATGGGAGCTGCACCCGAGGGGCGCTTGTGTGTGTGTGTGCTGTGGCTGACTAGACAAAGCCAGGGAGATAGTTACCCCTGAGTATGGCCGCGGGGCGCGTGTGTGTGTGTGTGTGTGTGTGTGTGTGTGTGTGTGTGTGTGTGTGTGTGTGTGTAGGGCGGGGGCCGGTACCATAACCTGGAAGTGCCTGACACGACGCCTGACACTAGGGGGCGCTCTAAAGCGCTCTGTCACCGCATTCTGATTCCAGCCTAACCCCGCAAGCAGGCAGCTACAGTGCAGCTCAAAGCCTGTGCCGCGGAGCGGTTGCACGGAGACAAGGACAGGGGATGAGAACAGGCTTTGGAAACTTCTATAGCAATATGTCAGAGCAACTTTCTATCTGCTGAATCTAGTAATCACAATAACTTTCCTTGTAACTTGGCTTTTATTGTATTTACAAAAACACTGGGCTGTGACAGCTTACAAATAAATAATAATAAAAAAATCTATTAAACAAAATCAGCAAGTCCTTTCTTGGCTAAGAATTTATGGACATTGAGTAACATTTTTGAATAGAGATAGCAAGCCCTACTTTGTATATAAATAAATATATGTTTAAAATGAGTATTTAGCAGGAGTTCCCTGATGGTCTAGTGGTTAGGATTCGGTGCTCTCACTGACATGGCCCGGGTTCATTCCCTGGTCGGAGAACTGAGATCCCACAAGCCCCACGGTGAGGCCAAAATAAAATAAAGTAAATGTGTATCTAGCAAATCTTGTGCTTGGAAGAGTGTTTGGGCACAGGAGAAGTGATGGTGGGGCTGTTTGGTCTTGGTTTGGTTTTCTGGAAGCAGCTAGCTACTGACTTTGTTCTAAGACCTTTTTCCATCTGTTGTTTACTGAGTTCTTTCTGCTGCTTCCCTCTCTCTTCTTCTAATACCCTATGATCCAGTTCAGCATGCAAAGTTCTCTGTGCAACAGAATCTCATCCCCCGCCCCCCGCCATACCACTGTGGTTGGATTTCATGGCTGAACAATGACAGGCTACTCACTTCCGCCTCCTGAGGTCTGAAGCAGGGGTTTAAAACCTGCTTATTTTCCAGGTGTGAACATCCGAAACCACACTGTCACGAGCCCCTTCTAGTCATTCTTCCTCCTCCTTGGGCTGTGGCTGAGCCCACGCCAGGCACTCACCATTCTGGCCGAGAGGAAGAGGAGCAGCTGGTGAGACAGGCAGTAGCCAGAGCAGCCAGGCCTGGTCATGAGGGTCTTGCAGAAATCGGAGGGGCTGCAGGGCTGCCTGCTGTTTGTCCTGTGGGAGAAGTGGTTCCAAGCTGTTAAAAGCGTCCTGAACGAAGCCCGAGGGCACGGAGCCTTTCCTGGTCCTGATGCCCCCTCTAGTTATTAGACCCCCCAATAGGGTCCAGGCACACAGCCATGCCAGATAAACACAGGTGTCCTGTGTCTGGCTTGGCTAAATTGTTCCCCCCGGCCCAGGGGAGGCAATGCTGGAGCTATCCTGGGTTAGGGGAGCCACCAGGGGCTGCGACTTCCCATTTCTCTGTGGGACCCCCAAGTACCATGCTTCCCACAATTGCCCTAAACAGCAGATCCCTGGACCCAGAACAGCAGATCCCCGGGCCTGGCATGCCCACCCCCCTGTGCCAGGCCTGCCCCATGGAAGGGACAGGGTAGGTCCCTCACTGGAGCATAGCCCCTCTGCAAGCCCAGCTGTGTCCTGGCCCAAACACCTCTCTGAAGGATGCTGAGAAGGTGGGAGCTTGGGCACCTGCTGCCCCTTCTGCTCATGGGTTTCATGGATCCCTGCACCTAGGGCTGCCCCTTGGGGGTTTGCTCCAAGCCCACTGCACAGCAGGTGAGCTAAACTAGGCTGGGTCCTTCTTTCTGGGGCCTACAGCCCTGTCCTGCCTTCTGGGACCGGTTCTCCTTGCCAGATGCAGTTCCCATTTGTTCTACAGAACCATAAAACAAATGGGAACTGCATCTGGCTAAGAGAACCGGTCCACCATGGGAGGTCAGCCCCCTGCGGTGGGGTCAGGGAAGGTTCTGGAGGAAGGATGCTGGAGCTGGCCCTGAAGTGTGAGCAGAGTTACTTAGGCACATGGCCTGGCGTGGGGCAGGGTGGGAGGAGGCCCCACAGAGGCGACTGCCAGGCACAGGCAAAGGCTTAAAGTGGTAGGGAGCCGGTGCCTTTGAGAGTCTGAAAAGAGGCCCCAGGGCTTGGACCAGAGTGGCCTGAGGACCTGGAAGGGCAGAGGAGTTGGGGCTTTTCCTGAGAACAAGGCAGCTTCGCACTGGGGTGGGGTGTTCAGATGTGCTTTTTGGAAAGATCCCTCTGGTGTGGGGAGACCAGCCAGTTGGGGAGTGCAGGGCATGGAGGTAGGTGTTTGGAGAGGGCTGGAAGCCTAGGGTGGAGAGAGGGGGGCTGACTCACAGTGATGGGGATGGGAGAAGGAACAGCTCTTGGGGGAACTTGCGCCTGGTTTTGCCCAAACCCCTGGGGATTTGGAAAGTGAGTGGGACGGTAGGACTGGCGGAGGGCAAGCACTTTGGGATTTTCAGGAAGCGGGGCCCATCCAGGGGGCCCACCCGGTTCCCAGCAGCTGCACCAGGCACAGGTCACTGTGCTCCTCTGAGAAGGAGTCCTGCTGCTCAAACGTGGAGTAGACGATGGAGGCCTTGGTGCGGGTCCAGATGTGCGGGAGCTTCCAAAACCCAGGCTCAATGACTGGCTGGAACTCTGGCAGAGAGGAGAGGGTTGCGGGGAGACCCAGGAGCAGTGGGCCATGCCGAGCTTAACCGCCCCCCAGGTTCCTGTGGTTTTGAGCCCACGAACTGGCTGTCCCTCCCCTGGCAGCCCTGAGCACACTCAGATACCTTCAGGGCTCCAAGCCTTGCCTGAGGGTTGGACACTGCATTTGAAACACAAAGGAAGCTCTTTCTCTAAAAAAATTTTTAAAAATCACTAGGAACAGTGTTGGGATGGGCTCTGACTAAATCTATCGCATCCCGTGGAAGCTTGAGACATGTAAGTAGCACCTTTTGTTCCATTAGAATGTGGAGCTCTTATGGAACAGACTTCACGATGACACGGGCTGGGATGGTCTTAAGGACCAGGCCTGGGAGAGGGTGGGGGACGCCGACTGCAGAGGGACAGGCCGAAGCTTGGGAGGGCTGGGGTCTGGTCATGATGTATGGCCAGTTATCTCCCCACTCACCCCCACGGACCTGGGAGCTGGGAGCCTGGGAGGCAGGGCTGGACCATACAAGGAGCTGGTTTATTTATTTATTTATTTATGGCTGTGTTGGGTCTTCGTTTCTGTGCGAGGGCTTTCTCTAGTTGTGGCAAGCGGGGGCCACTCTTCATCGTGGTGCACGGGCCTCTCACTATCGCGGCCTCTCTTGTTGCGGAGCACAGGCTCCAGACACGCAGACGCAGGCTCAGTAGTTGTGGCTCATGGGCCTAGTTGCTCCGCAGCATGTCGGATCCTCCCAGACCAGGGCTCGAACCCGTGTCCCCTGCATTAGCAGGCAGATTCTCAACCACTGTGCCACCAGGGAAGCCCCTGTTTTTTTTCTTTTAATTTTATTTATTTTTTTTGGCTGTATCGGGTCTTAGGTGCAGCATGTGGGATCTTTCGATGCGGGATGTGGACTCTTCATTGTGGCGCGTGGGCTTCTCTCTAGTTGTGGCATGAGGGTTTTCTCTCTCTAGTTGAGGCGCGTGAGCTCAGTAGTTGTGGCACGCAGGCCTAGTTGCCCCGCGGCATGTGGGATCTTAGTCCTTGAACAGGGATCGAACCCACATCCCCTGCATTGCAAGGCAGGTTCTTTACCACTGGACCACCAGGGAAGTCCCTTTTTTAAAAATAAGTTGGAATAAGATCGTTTGAGGGCACACCTGCCCCCTGAACTGAACAGAGGATTTCTTAGAGTGGAGCCTGGCCAGTAGGGACAGAATATGAGCTGCAAAGGGCGAGCTTCGCGGCTGCTTCAAAATCGTCTAGTGGCCACATTAAAAAAAAACAGAGAAGCAGGTGAAATGAATTTTAACAATCTATTTTATTTGAACAAATAGATCCCAATATCCAAAATATTATCTTTTCAACTTGCTGTCAACATGAAAAATCAATAAAAATTAATTTTTTGCATTCTTTTTTTAATATCATTTTTCTCCTACAAAGTTTGAAATCTGGGGAGTATTACACTCGTGGCACATTTCAGCTCAGGCTGGGTACATTTCAAGAGCCCCACAGCCACGTGTGCTTCTCGTATTGGGACAGTGAGGACTTAGCGCCCTCATGCAGCTCATTCACTGTGAAAGTACATCTGTTTCCCTGCAAAACGTCACTGTTGGAGTACTGGGTGCTGTCCTGAACCTCATTGGGACTACTACGTGTATGCATGCCATATGCCCTTTCTAAAAAATTCTGAATTCAGAAACATATCTGGTCCCCAGGGTTTCAGTTAAGAGATTATAGATCTGTAAGAATAATAAAAATATCACCACCAAAATGTGCATCTGATGTTCCTTGTGGGCAGGCTCCAGGTCAGGGTTTCTCAATCTTTTTATTTTTCATTCTTGCCCTTCTCCAGCCTTTTAAGACATTTCCCCGTGAACATGTAAAAATAATAGATTTTTTGAGATATAATTTGTTACCGAGTCCAAGCTCGATCTGCTCGCCGCACGACAGGCCAATGAATGGGGAGACGAGGTGTTGAGGGAAGGAATACGACTTTATTCAGAAAGCTGGCAGACCGAGAAGATGGCAGACTAGTGTCTCCGGTAAACCATCTTATGGGGTTTGGATGCCAATTTCTTTTATAGTACAGAGAAGGGGAGGAGATGAGGAAGTAAAGTAAAAAGGCCATAATTGCGAAAATCCCCTGGTGAGGGGATGTGTTAATTTCTTCTTTCTTGAAGCCATCCACAGGTGAGCGGGGTCAGATTATCTCCCTGTGAGCTGAACACAGGCACTTTAGTTTAACTTTCAGGCAAAGGGGCAGGGTTCTCTAAGGCAGGCCATTATGTATGATTATAATAACAAAAGCAACGAAAAGCAAAGGTTAAAGTCAAAGAAACAGATTGAACATGGGGTCCAATTTAGCTCTTCCCTGTTACAAATTCACATGCCCTTTTAAAGTATACACTTTGGCAGTGTCTCTTAAAAGTATATTCACAAAGTTGTGCAAACACCACCACTGTCTAATTCTGAAATATTTTCATCACCCAAAAAAGAAACCCCACATCCATCAGCAATCACTCCCCATCCCCCCTAACCTCAGCCCCTGGCAACCACTACTCTGCTTTCTGGTTCCATGGATTTGCCTACTCTTGACATTTCACACAAATACTCATTCAATATATGACCTTTTGTGTCTGATTTCTTTCACTGAGCATAACGTTTTCAAAGTTCATGTATCTTGTAGCATGAATCAGTGCTTCATTCCTTTTTTATGCCTGAAAAATATTCCATTGTATGGATAGATCATGTTATCCATTCATCAGCTGATGGACACTTGAGTTGTTTCCATCTTTCTGCTACTGTAAATGATGGTGATATAAACATTCATCAACGGGTTTTTGTTTGAAAACCTGTCTTCAGTTCTCTAGGGTATACACCTAGGAGTACAATTGCTGGGTCACGTGGTAACTGTACACTACGTTTAACTTACTGAAGAACTGCCAGACAACTTTCCACAGCAGCTGCACCATTTTCCACAACCACCAGTGATGTGGGAGGGTTCCTCCTGCACAACTTTTTGTTCAGAACTCCTGTGAAATTTTTGTTTGGCTGCACTGAGCAGCAGGTGGGATCTTAGCTCCCCAACCAGGGACTGAACCCATGACTCCTGCATTGGGAGCACAGAGTCTTAACCACTGGACTGCCAGGGAAGTCCCCTGTTGAAAAATTTTTTAAAAAATATTTATTTATTTAATTTATTTTTGGCTGCATCAGGTCTTAGTTGCTGCATGCGGGCTCTTCATGGTGGTGCTTGGGCTTCTCTCTAGTTGTGGCATGTGGGTTTTCTCTTCTCCAGTTGTGGTGTGCAGGCTCCAGGGCGTGTGGGCTCTGTAGTTTGCTGCATGCGGGCTCTAGTTGAGGCGCGTGAGCTCAGTAGTTGTGACACAGAGGGCCTAGTGGCCCCGCGGCACATGGGATCTTAGTTCCCTGACCAGGGATTGAACTCACATCCTCTGCATTATAAGGCGGATTCTTTACCACTGGACCACCAGGGAAATCCCCAGGTGAAATTTTAATACTGCAGATATATTGCATATTTGTTTGTGTGCCGTATCTATATCTGCACTTTATACATAAAAAGAGTATGTTTTTCTTTACTCCTCAAGAACCATTTTTTGCTGGCTTGGGTATGCCACTGAGAACGACTGTTCCAGGTGAAGCCTGTCACTATCATCACTTGTTAATCCCTACAACAACCCCTCAAGTGGGTACTATTCTTATCCCCTTTTGTACCTTAAAATCTGAGGTTCTGGGGGGAAAGTGACTTATTTTGACCCCCTGTCTCACAGGTAGGATGAGGTGGTTCAGGGATTCCAACACCTGAGTCCACATCCTTTTTTTTTTCTTCTTTTAAAATTTTTATTTATTATTATTATTTTAAAATTTACTTTTGGCTGCATTGGGTCTTTGTTGCTGTGCGCAGGGCTTTCTCTAGTTGCGGCGAGTGGGGGCTACTCTTCGTTGTGGTGTGCGGGCTTCTCATTGCGGTGGCTTCTCTTGTTGCGGAGCACAGGCTCTAGGCGCACGGACTTCAGTAGTTGTGGCTCACAGGCTCAGTAGTTGTGGCATGCGGGCTCAGTAGTTATGGTGCACGGGTCTAGGTGCTCCGTGGCATGTGGGATCTTCCCGGACCAGGGCTCAAACCTGTGTCCCCTGCATTGGCAAGTGGATTTTTTTTTTTTTTTTTGCGGTACACAGGCCTCTCACTGTTGTGGCCTCTTCCGTTGCGGAGCACAGGCTCCGGACGCGCAGGCTCAGCGGCCATGGCTCACGGGCCCAGCTGCTCCGCAGCATGTGGGACCCTCCCGGACCAGGGCATGAACCCGTGTCCCCTGCATCGGCAGGTGGACTCTCAACCATTGCGCTACCAGGGAAGCCCGGCAGGTGGATTCTTAACCACTGCGCCACCAGGGAAGTCCCCCGAGTCCACTTCTTAATCGTGGAAATTCTGCCAAGGTTCAGCCTCCTGTCTCTGGAAAGGGAAACAGTACCCTCTTGAGCTCTGGGAGGACTGAATTTCATGTGTGCTGTTGGCCAAGTGGGCAAGCAGTACAAGCAGGACTGGCTTGTGATGCATCCTGCTTCTCTATCTCCCTAGAGAAACGATCCCAACACCTTCCTCAATCAGGCTTTCATATTCCAGGACGAGGCGTTTACCTCTGGTTTGTCACAACCATGGGACCTGGTCCTTATCCTCTTAGATCATGAGAACAAGAGGGGCTCTCTGAGATGTGAAGTCCCCATCCCTTAATTTACAGGTCAGGAAAGCCAACTGATAGAGAGTGACTTGCTCAAGTTCAAGGCACCCTGAGGCCAAGGTCTCTGGATCCCAGCCCCGTCCCACCTTAGAGGGTGCCCGGAGTGGGCAGGGCATGCGTTCCAGCTTCACACCCCTGGCAATGTAACGGAAGGCAGTGGCTTCCCTGGGAACTGGGGCATTAACGAGGCTGCCCATGGTGTCTGTCTGCCCATCCCTCCATCCGTATGTATGTACTCGTCCTTCCTTACCCTCTTCTACCCTCAGGTTTCAAGCCCTTCCTCTGCCACACACTCACTAATGTTGTGACCTTCAATGACCTAATCTGTAAGAAGGGGAGTCACAGGGCTATTGGGAGAAGCAAATGAGATACATGCCAAGCCCTGAGCTGGGTTCTAGGGTCCCTGGTGTTGCCCCATCCAGGCTCTCATCAAGGGAGTAGGCGCTATGTCATTTGTCTAATATGTGGGTGGGTGAGGTGGGGCTGAGGGCAGGTGGTCGCTGTGCCTGATGTGCAGGTTCTGCGGCAGCTCCCAAGGCAAGGGCAGAGGGGGTGGCTTCAAGGGGACCCCTTTCAAAGTCAAAGTGCTGTCACGTAGATCCACACAGAACTCTCTAGTGTGGTTATTTTGGGAGGTGAGGCAGGAGGGTCAGTGGGGAAGTTTTCCTTTCTTACTATGGATACTTAAAATCGTTCTGGTTTTTAGTTCCTTCATTGTCCTTCTCTCTCTCTGTCTCTATTTTTTCCTTTCTTTTTTTTGGGGGGCTGTGTCATGCTGCTTGTGGGATCTTCGTTCCCCCGCCAAGGATTGAACTCCGGCTCTCGGCAGTGAAAGTGCAGAGTCCTAACCACTGGACTTCCAGGGAACTCCCTCTTTCTCTTTATATTTTAAATGTTTTATTCAAGTACAACATACATCCTGAAAAATGAATGTTTGCTTTTTGATGAATTTTCCCAAATGGACCACACCCACCTTACCAGCACCCAGATCAAGAAACAGACCGTGACACCCTCACCAGCTCCCCACTGCCCCCTCCCACTCACTCCCCAACCCTCCAAGGCAGGCCACCCCTCTAACTTCTAACAGTAAAGAGTAGTTTTGATTTATATAGTGGAACCAGCCAGTATGCACTCTGGCTGGTCTCTTTTCTCAACATTATGCTTATGCGTTTCATCCAAATTGTTATCTCACTATATTTTAAATTATCTTAGAACTTTGAAGAAAAAAATGTTCCTAGATCCCTACATAGTAACAACTTTACCTTAATACCACTAAACCTCTGCTCCCAGGTTGGAGGTTCGCGGGCCCAGGCTTAGGGAACAGGGAATCACGTCCCCGCCTCCCTTCTCTCCACCCACCTAGGAGCCTCGGTCTGCGGCTGCGGACAGCTGGCCCAGCCGGCGGGAGTGCGGTCACGTGACGGTTGCCGGCCCGCCAAGATGGCGGCTTCCTGCGTGGTCCTGCTGGCGCTGGCCCTGTCGCTGCTGCTGCTGGTGGCGTGGAAGCGCTGGCAGTGGGGGCGCGCGGCCCGCCACGTGATTGTCGTGGTGCTCGGCGATGTGGGCCGCAGTCCCCGCATGCAGTATCACGCACTGTCGTTGGCCAAGCGCGGCTTCTCCGTGACCTTCTTGGGGTTCTGCAGTGAGTGCCCCGGGGGCCTGGGAGGGAGGCTGCTCTCTCAGCCTTTGACCCTCGGCTTTGACCGCCCCACGGGGGCCGAGGCGGGGACGCCCCTTTACCCTCTCCTCCGTCGGGCAGCTCTCCGAGGTTGGACGAGCTGCGTTGTGGCCTGGACAGCGGTTGCCAGGTTTCTTGGGTGCGTCCCTAGGAACAGTCAGCATTAATCGAGCGCCTGCCATATGCCAGGACTGTGCTAAGCTAAATGAACTCAGTGCATAGTCTCGCACTGTCAGGCAGTGTCTGAGACGGCAGGCAACTTGTGTCCTCTCCGTACCTCATCCTCAGCGCAGAACTCTGCAGGCAGGAAGTGTTTCATTTTCGTAGGATGTCCAGCGTTTTTCCCTCAGTGTGCGGGGGCAGGGGTGTCTGCTCCTCCATCTTCCCCCACTTTGACATCTTTAGAAGGTAGCTCTATCCCATATCAGGGGAAAAAAAGGAATAGCACTGGTTGCCTCTGGTCCCTGTTCAGAGTCTGCTACCCCAGAGTGAGGGGCTGGAGTGAGACTTCCTAGGGGTCTCCCTATGGTGTGATAATTCCACCATCCAGGGAATCTAGGTCAGCTTGAGTGCCTACTATGTGCCAGGCATTGTGCTAAGTAAAAATGGATAAGATTCCAGCCCTCCCTCTGTGGGTGGTCTAGTGGAATCTGGACAAGAACTGGCCTCATTCTCTGTTCTGGCTACTGAGGAACAGAGAGGTTCTAAGACACTCTCCCCTATTCAGCCTGTGGGGCGGGGATCATCTGACTTTAAATTAGATCATCTTCTCCAGCACATTAAAAGGGACATTCTTTTCAGCCTCCAAACCCCACGATGAGCTCTTGCAGAGCGACAGAATTCAGATCGTGAGTCTGACAGAACTTCAGAGACTTGCAGGTAGGAGGCAGTCAACTCTCAATATCTCTGAATCTGTGTGTGTGTGTGTGTGTGTGGCGGGGGGAAGGTGGGGAGCGCGGAGTTGGGGGGATCTGCAAATTGCCAAGAACTCCTTTACTAGTGATGGCTGTTTTCTGACTTGCAGTTGGGCCCCATATTCTCCAGTATGGAGTCAAAGTTGTGTTTCAGGCAGTGCACTTGCTGTGGAAGTTGATGTGCAGGAAGCCAGCAGCTTACATCTTTCTCCAGGTAGGTGTCAGCTCCACCTCCCGCTGTGAGAACCACTGTTTTAACAGTTTTCTTTACTTTCCAGTTAAAAAAAATGTACAGATTGGTAACTGCATATTCACATGTGTGTGTATAAACTTTTAAAAACATGAGTAGGAGCCTATGGTATGTGTCCATTCTATTTATGGTACTCATCCCTTCTGTTTTTCAGTGTTTTACAGACAGTCTTATTTTGTACTTGTTACATATCTAAGTGTTTTACATGCATTATCTCATTTAATTCTTCACAACAATCCTGAGAAGTAGGTTCTTGTGTTACCTACACTTAGAGATGAGGGAACCTAGACCCAGAGAGGTTCTGTAAGTAACCCATTGTCACACAGCTAGGAAGTGCTGGAGTCGGGATTTGAACCAGGTTGTCACTCTG